CAAATGTGACGGTGCGGTGGAAGCTACGTGCTCGTATCGCCCACTCGTTCCTCCATCTTTCGCCTCGTGATCGCCCTTCCGGCCGTACCCACTCGCAAAAGAGCGGGATCGCGCGATAAAAGGGACGCGAGTCGTACGGCGAACGCGTAGCGCCCGCGGCGCTGTCAGCTTGGCGGTGAGCGAAGTACGCAGGTTCAAAAACATGCGGACGTGCTTCTATAGGGGAGGCTCATCGATCAGGCGCGGAAAATGGACTGCGCCGAGAAATGATCTCGGTTCCGCGTGTAGACGGCGATCAAATGCAAGTGTGAACGCCGTTCACTGTTCGGTGTTCCCACTCCATCAGTCGTTCAACCACCACTCCCGGAAAGAAAAAAAAAAAAAGTCGGTTATAATAACGCGGAAGGATATCGACATCGCAAACTGGTAAACTCGCTCTCCGGAACTTCCGGTCCCGTTAAACACGCTCGCAAAGCTTTTTTTTCTTTTTTCTTTTTTTTAGATGTATATATATGTAATGAAGATAAAATGAACGAGGGTTTGCTGTGTAATCAATCCGACTGCCGACCGTTGCGGGTAACTGTTTACCGATGGTGTTTAAAGGTGGCAGGACATCGTTTTCATGTGGGAGGGAATCAAATTCTGTGTATTTTGGATATGGTCTGTCAATAGAATACTTTTTTTCTTCTTATTTTGAAGCATGGAGAAACCCAATACGTTTTCAAATTGCGTTTGGCTGCGGCAGATTCGTAGGATAAATCTTTGTAGTTGTTTTGTGTTTGTGTCTGTCTGTGTATTTGTATTTGAAAATTCAAAACGTAGGAAGTTTTCTTTTTTTGATTTTCGTTTTTTCCTTTTGAAAACGTTTTGAAGCACCTATTTTTCCTCCGATTCGTTATTGCGCCACTATACCACTGGCGACTGAACCGCGTTCGCGAGGCAGTTGCCGATGTGCTCGCCGAAATATTCATTGCCATATTTCGCCACTCTATATTTTGCCAAGCATGACCATATCAGTAGAAAGTGGGTTTACTTCAATGTAACATTAATGCCTTCGAGGAGTCATTCGTACCTAAACGTTCCGTGGAATGAAACCAGTTCTCGCGGCTTTTTTAATATATTTTGGCATTATTTACGACAAATTGTTTGAAAATGCCATTAAAACAGTTTAATGTTTTAATGTTTCGAGTCGCCAAGATCAAAAGTATTGCTCTGTTTTTTTTCTTCTTATTTTTTGTGGTGTTTGTGGTTTTTTAAGGGTACGTATATAAGCATATGAATAAATTCAGAAATCTAGAAACGCTTCCAGCTAAATTACTAAAATTCGGCGATGTCCTGTGCACAGGCAATGTACCTTTCGTTTTAGACTTTTTCTTCGTAAAATAATTGCACAGGCGGCTCGTGCTTCAATTATTTAGCAATAGATCGCCGTATCACTAAATTCTGCAGCAACCAAAAAGAAAAAAAAAAAAAAACTGGCAACGATTAAAGCGACAAAAATAAAGTAAAAGAAACTAAACGCGAAGGGCATTCAGGATTTCCATTTGCACCCATTGATTGTTAGACTAAATTACACGAAACGTCCGAAAAAGAAAACATTAAGTTTTATCGCAACAGCCAGTCTCTCAAACTGTAAAATAAAAAAGGGTAAGGCAAATTTTATGTATGGTAAGTACTTTGCATCGTTCCGAAATGCAATACCCTCTACAACAACAGAGTGTTTACAAAACAAGCCCGCTTTCCGCACACCGAGGTCGACCCACTATTTTTTTTTTTCAATCAGCCAATGGGAGCACTGCGTTCTGACATCGTCGCAACCCCCGTGCCAAGGAAGCAGACGAAACTTCCGCTCCGGATCGGTTCGGCCCAACGTTACTAAAACACTCAGTTGGGAAACTCGCTGTCGAAACCTGGGCCGCTGGCGTCCACCGAGACCGAGCTAAATACGACAACAGCGCCACTCTTTGGCTGTGTTCCAAATCTTACCCAAATGGATCCGAGTTACTCCGGCGGAACTATCACGTGACAGCACGGATTGAAAAATGCAGGACGCGGGTAGGTTTTAGAACGCCAAGGGTACAAAACCCTTACCCTGGAGTAAGATCGAGTAAATTTTGGAACACGGCCTTTGTCATTAGCCTGTATTGTGGTCACCTTGAGCTTTTAAGGGGTGTCCAAACAGGACACTACAAAACGCACGACTCCGACAAATCGTGAAAATTGAAGCGGACGCGCCCGCTTCGCGCCCGCTTCAATTTTCACGATTTGTCGGAGTCGTGCGTTTTGTAGTGTCCTGTTTGGACACCCCTTTAGAAAGCATGTTTTCGCGTAAAAACCAACAGAAAAAAAACTCTTTTTGTAGTGGCTTTTATTGAAGTTTTGTACAAAATGAAGGGCGCGCGATGTTTTTAGAAACTTTAGTTTGCAAGGTTTTGCGGCACAATTAATATAGTTTTTATACAACCATGCCTCAGCGGTGCTTTCAGGTAGCGTGTCCCGACATAGGTGCATCTTAACTGCAGTAGTAATTCACGGCGCGGCCGCCGGGGAGACGGGGAGGCACCCCTGTAACCTCTTCCGCTGTATCTGTTTCGGCGCCAGAATGGCCGATTAAAGCGCGAAAGACATGTACGACGAAACCGTCCGATCCGATGTCCCGATGCGATACGACGGTCGGAGGCGAGGGTTTTCAACGCTCTCTGATGCTACGAAAACCCTCGCCCCCAGAGGCCATTCCGGCAGTCCGCAGGTCGGATCGGAAGGTTTCGTCGTACATGTGTTCCGCGCTTAAAGACCGACGACCAGTTCGCGCTTTCCACTTTTCGCCCGCTTCCTACTCTCCCTCCTACCCTTTCCACCCACGCCCGCCCCTCTTGCTCCCTTCTTTCCATCCTTCGCTTCCCTCGCCCGAAGGCGTGAAGAGGAGGGTCTTCTGCCTTGCAGAATCTCGAGTCTGGTCGTCGGCCTTTAAAGCCAAAATAGACGTCACGTGCAGTTCCTCGAACGACCGCTGCGGGAGAACTGGCGGCGTTGTGTTCGCCATTAGCTCGGTGCTCGAGGACAGATCGGGGACACTCTTTCAGAGCAGTCTCTATGGCAGTTTCCCAACTGAGTGATTCAGTAACGTTGGTTCGGCCGGAAACGGCGAAGGCACAAAGACAACAACCGCCGTGACGATGCATTATTAGCAACGCTCGATTGGTCTCCCTCAAATCATAGCGTCCTCTTCGGTCGGACTTGGAGTGAAACGGAGTATGGCACCACTTTATTCGTCGCATTAATAAAAATTTAAATATGTCACGGGTATCGTTAAACGCCCTACACGTGCTCATCACTTGAAGAACTGTCATATTTTTCCTGATGTTTTTGGTGTTTTCTTTTCTTTCGAAGCCGCGTTAGTGCCTTCTTTCCCCTTGTGCAGATAGGAGCCGAACGCGCTAAAGTGGTATGCAGATTAATCGCCAAAGTCGTTATCGATCAAATGACCTTTCTCGATCTACGAGGCAACGGAGGCGCGTCGAGTTTCCATGCTAAACGGTTCCGCTCGAGGCACCTGCGGGTAGGTGGAAAGTGCGTTTGGTACGTGGATTTCAAAGAACCTTAATGCAGTGATATAAAGTCACTGGATCGAGGCAAAGTAGCCCCATTGTTTTCCCTGCCCGCTAGCCGGACACAAAAGCGATATGCTAACATGCAGACGCCCCTTCTTCGCGGAGTAATTGTTTCATCTGCTTCAGTTGCCATGGCAATCGCCATTTCGGTTCATACGAATCTTCGAAGCTTCGAAAGGGTCGTTTGAGCCAGTTGCACCACAATCGCTATGGAGCATTTTCGCACTGAAAGCGTTCCTCGGCAATATAAGCGTCTTTGGCGGTGCGTACGCCATCCTCTTATCGATCACGCTCATCTCCACAGGTATCTTACTATGGTATTGATGTTCTTACTTAATTCGAGACAGGTAGATTATTTTTCGAAGCCGCCAAGTACCGGCGCCGGATATGGTGGCATTAGGAAGACGAGCGCTTGTTTCGCAGGTTTGTGGACAAAAAATCTCGGTATTCAAGGAACGTCTCTAGTTACATGCCACCAGCGACTTTAAATCGGCTCACCGAGAATGGAGAGCTCAAGGTGAAACTGCTCATCCCGTGAGCCAAAATGACGACCATTCAAGGAACTTGACGCTGCTTTCCCAGGATCCACTGAACTTAGCTAGTGAGACTCGGGCATTTCTGAAACTACCTTTGTTTGTTTTTTTGTTGTTTTTTTTCCTTTATAAGTCAAGCATGACTTATATTGTGCGATTTTTATTGTAACTTTTGCAGCTTCGATGTTGAACACCGCTTTCTTCCACCATGTCTTTTTTTTTTTTTTTTTGCGGCATGCGCGATGCAGTTTTGAAGCCGCAAGTCAAGTCGCACCATGTGAATCAGGCAGTAATTACATTTAATCTCTACCTACTAAACAGGCGTCGTACGGCCAGGTTCCCGTCCCACACAGGTGTATTTTGCGGTCGGACATTTTTCCGCCGATCTGCTTGCAGTCAATCGTTGAGATATATGGAAGCGCGACACCGCGAACTACGCACTAAGAAGGAAATCAGTCATTCTAAGTCTTCCAGTCCTCCAGCAGTAATACTGCATGCCCCGCCTTTCTAAGACAAAATTACTCCTTTCAACTTTTCCTCGGGGCATTCGTGGAGAAAATTAGCGCGGTCTACAAGGGACGGGGGGATTGCTTTCATTGAAGTATGAAGTAAGCGGAGTGACAATCACCACGCCGTGAAACTTCATTCTCAATCACGTTGACTTTCGGTGAAAAAATTAGACTTTTACGTTTCCCTGTAATGCGAAATTAGAGCGCAGCTCTTGAGGTATGTCGATTTTGTGATATACCGTGGTAGACCGTTGGCTATATACAAGTTCTGCAGGAAAGCAAGTTCAATGACTTTTTTTTTTGTTTTGTTAATAGTGTTGGACAGTTGGGGTTGATCCGATGCCCACCTGTGGCGAGGCCGTTGTCGCCCACGTCGAGCGAGATGTCCAGGGACGCGATGATGTCAGCGCACGGCTTGCGCAGCACCGCACCGGCCTGAGCCGGGGGCCAGCACGTGAACGAGTCCCAGGCCGGCTTGCAGTGCACCGGGCTTGGAACTGTAGACACTGGAATCAAAGAACCAGAAACAGGGACAGGTTATAGCTAGCTCCAAGCTTTTAATACCGCGCGGAAGTGACCGTTGTTTCTATACATACGGGGTGTCTGAAGTAACCAGGCTTTATCTAAAAGGAACCGTAAAAATTGGCGCCTGCACGTAGCAATGTAAACTTTTCGTCAAAGGTGTATTTCACAGGTCGGTGTCTTCTTGTGAAATTAAAAATCGTAGCTTATTTTCTGTAAGAAATAGGGTCATAAAACTTGCCAGGGTCAATGGCGGACGGCAACGTAGACGACTGAGTCGAGTGGCGGGGCGCGTTTGGAGCACGTATTTATAGATGGTGTCGGGAGCAGCGTTCGAAGGTGTAGCCGACCAGCGAATGAAAGCAGACGACACGCAGGCGAAATCCGTCGGCTGCAAGAGCACTGTCATTATGCAACCGCGCTTTTTTGTACTTGAATTTGTGCTTTTATTGTCCGTATTTATTTTAAACCAAAGGTAGGTAACAATAAAGATTGTATTCATTTTAATGTACCACGGTCTTCGCGAGCAGTCTTGATAAGGAAGTAGCGCCACTCGACTCGATCGTCTTCGCCGCCGTCCGTCTTTTACCCTGGCAAGTGTTTTGGCCCTATTTTTTACAGAAAGGGAGCTACGCTTGCATTTTTGCATGAGGAACCGACCTGGTTGAGTTCACGTTTGACGAAAAGTTTACATTCCTATGAGCAGGCGCCGATTTTTACGACCAATTTTATATTGAGCCTGGTTATTTCGATCACCTATATATATAGACCAACTCATGTTTACAAACAAACCGGAGCGCCCCTAGCGGACGCCACCGGCGCCGTGCATGCGTGATGGAGTGTGGGCAAGAACCTCGCCGTCGCTCATAAACAAACCATTGGAAGGCGATGTTGCCGGCGTCCAGTGTGAGTCCCCGTGCTCTTTTTCGCGTTGGAATTGTTGATTCCACGTCTTCCTGGCAATGTCTGATTACTGCAGCGGCCTCAGCTAAATTAACGAGGCTCATTACACCGCAAAACATCGCGTAAATGATGTGACATGCGGTGATTCATTCCGCGTGGACGCCGCAGAATCGGCGCCCAAGCCTGACTCGCTTGATGAGATTCTGCTCGCTCTTTTCAGTCGCGACATCGCTTGGGCTGCAAAAGGCTGGGCCGTTGCTGAGATGTTTGACGTCGATACTGAAAATCGCAAGCAGAATCGAACCAAGAAGATCGGGCATAACAAGTCGGCGATGGCCACTGGTAAAAAAATGATCAACATCTCCTTGAATATACTGCTTACATCGAGCCTTCTTACCCCAACCCACCTTCCAACTTACAAGACTTTTAAGGCCTGCACTTAATATTTATCGCAATTACCGGGCCAGTGTTTGGTGTACGGGCCGGTGTTGTCTGAAAGAGCTGACGACAAATAGGAACGTTTGAAAGAGCAGACGACATTTCGAACAATCAGGCAGCTGTTTGAACTTGAAGACGCATGAGTAGTCCGCAGGTGGTCCGTACAACTTGACGGTTTTCCCGCGTTCATATTGGAACAAAACAAAGAAATCTGATGTCCACAAGTATCAGTGAATTCAACCCAAACTGCTTCCCGCCCAAGCAATCGTAGTCCGACGGCGTCTGGTTTTTCCTTTTCACGGCACATATCCACGCTCTCGGACGAACTAAGCACATAAAAACTGACCTTCAAACCTTTCTCGACTCTTTCGGTGCAGCCCCAGTCGCGGCATTTTGACGAGGAGGCAGGTTTTTGTCTGGTTTCTTTCAGACCAACGCAGGAATGCACGTCCCGCATGGCGACTTCCGCCCACAGTCCCTAACCGGAAGTGCGCCCGACGCGCCATCACCGCGCCGTGACGTAACAGAGTTGAGTTCGTGTATAGGGTGCTACACAGTGAATCCTTGTGCTTTAAAACGAACCGGGAAAGATTGGCGCCTGCACATCGAAAGTTCAAACTCTCACCGAATGTGTATTTAGGTGGTTTTGTGAAATTTCACGGCGTAACTCTGTTCTTGCAAAAAAAAGAGAAACAAACTTGCTGGGGTCAACAGCGCTAGAATTCATGGTGGCCACCTTATACATATCAACGTGTGTGCGGCCCTGATGTGAAAAGTCCCGAACAATAATCTTCGTGCCACGACAACCCTCTTCCTCTCCGCCCTCTTTATAAAGAAACGTAAAGCGGTACAACACACGTGAGCCAAAAACCGCGTCGCGTTGCGCCGCTGTGTAACCATGACAACCATCACAGTTGCCGTGAGATGACGGCGCAGCATTCGGCTATGTCATTGCTTTTCTGCAACAGCTGCTATGGTTACACCGCTCAGCGATGCAAGGAATGTGATTTTTGCTCACTCGGGGTTTCACGCTTTATGGTCTGTTGTAACATAAAAACGGCAACAAAAGCTGGGGACAAAAAAAAAAAAAAAAAAAAAAAAAGAAACTTTGTTCAGTGCTTAGCGTACCGTTGTGCACAACACAAATAAGGAGCCATTTTGTTTAAGGCATTCTTTGGGAAAAGCCTTTTCACAGATTCGCCTGCCTTCCCGTGGTGTCAGCAAACTAGGACAATCGTACACTCGCTCACCTTTAAGCTGAGACTGTAGCCAATGCCACAAGCACGAGAGCTCGAGGTCGCTGCTTTCAAATGCACGTCTCAAAGTCAGAAGCGCGGGCTATAGCTCGCCCTTGTAGCTTTGGCTGCAGTCTCAGCTTAGGGTGAACAGAGTGTGTACTTCATTTTGTTTTTCTGGGAATTTGAGCGTGATGAAACGAGTAGGATTGGTTTTGTCTCGATGCAACGTAACAAGAATACTCAGTTGGGAAACTGCCGTAAGAGCCTCCTTTGAAAAAGTGGCTCCGATCCGTACTCGAGAACCGAACTAATGGCAACGCTGCTATTTCTCCCGCAGCGGCCACTCCGGGAGCTGCACGGCTGCACGTATGCGGAAAGCAAGTCGTCTGCTACTTGCAAAGGAGTTGCGGTGACGTCAGAGCGACGCCGAGCTCTGATTGGCTTTGATTGAAAGGATAGTGAGTAGACCTCAAGTCCTAAATGCCTCAACGTCTACCCCCTATTTTTTTTTTTTATCAATCAGCCAATAAGAGCTCGGCATCGTGTTGACGTCACCACACCTCCTTCGCAAAAATCAGACGACTTGCTCTCCGGATTGGTTTCAGTTCGAGTCGCGCAAAGGCCGGTGGCTGTAAGGTCCCTCTATACGGAAAGGTAGCGACATCTTTTGAAGAATGTCGCCAGCTCCTCTCACTGGACGAATGTATACCACCCTTCGAAGCTCGCTGCGCGCGGATTTTGTTTTGGTTGTTTTTGCTTTTCGAGACCCCGCGTCGCCATTTTCGCTCCGGTTGCCCGCTGCGCCAGCCTTAGCGGATATTTTGTGTTTTCGCTTGTTCTGCTAAGGTTGTTTTGTTTTTTTTACGCAGAATATTCTGATTTCGTTATGCCGCGTATTGGGTGAAGGCTCCCAGTCGCGCCTTTACATCAATGGGGATAAAATATTAGTAGATCGTTTTTGCGCAACTATTACGACACGTTGCGCACGCCAAGGATGGGTACCGTTAAAAGGGAAACTTTTTTTATTATCAAGACCACCGATATCTCCTCTTAATTTGAACTATATGCAAACTTTACAAGTGGAGGCTCCTTGCGTTCGATCGCGCCTCGGTTGCGTGAACACTCATGCAGCGGGAGCCCCAGTCGAAGCTGCCCACTCACGTCTGTAGCCTCTATGGTTGGTCTATGTTAAGGTGAGACGAGGCATGGTAGCTGTTGAGGAGAGTGCTTCAGTTTTTAAAGAAAAACAGCAATCCCTTCGTGCTTACGTGTCCTGTCTTGCCTCCGTTACGAGGCGACGAAAAAAACCGAGCGTGTGATCTCCCTTCTTTGCGTCTGGGGCACGCGTGCGGTAATACAAAGACACTGCCTTCAATTGTGCCAAAGTAACTGTGCAACATACAAGAGTTCGCTGCTGCACGTAGTCGGCGGCTTTGCTCGTGCAGGAGCGAAACAGAGCCTCGCTCCGATAGCAAAGTAGCGTAGACCGTGCTCGCATCGCGTGTCCGTGCCCATGTTTGCCCTAGTTCGCATTTTCCAGTCAGTCTCCCTCGTTTTGCTGATATCTCGAACGTCTCCGTACTCAATTACGCGTTAAACTACAGAACTCGCGACAGAAATGCAATTGCGAAACACGAAGACTAACGAAAACAACCTTCCGCCCATTGCATTCAAGCGGAAGGATCTGCTAGCTTGAAGCGATCCAGGCGGCGCCACCTTCGACGCGCGAGGGCGAGAGAGAAACAAAAAGGGGGAGGAGGGAAAAGAAGTCGCTACTTTTCAGTATAGAAAGACCTTAGGTGGCGCCATCTCGCAGGGCCATTCCGCAATAGCAATATAAAGCAACTTCCATGTCCTGACTCGTCGCTAAAGGGTGGCGCTGTTATCATATTTGGTTTGTTCTCGGTGGACGCCAGCGGTCCAGGTTTCGACAGTAAGTTTCCCAACTGTGTGTTTTAGTAACGTTGCCTTAATGTCACGAGTTGGTTATCATGTCTACTTATCATCAGTTGCTAACATGTTTGATGATATATGTAGGTAACACAATGGAAGTCTGTAGTCATTACTGAAGGTCATCACATGTTCAACTGCAGCACCGCCAATTTGACTTTCCGACATCGTTCTGATTTGCAAAATTAAAAAAAAACTATCCTGCTATAAAAGTCATGGCGAGCGCATGGTCAATTGAGGACGCGACGGCAGCGACGTCTTTGCTGTCAACGCAGATTCTATCTATTTATCGGCTGCATTGCGGACAACCTGCACTTTACCGGGCGCTACTTTCTTCCCGCCCAATAAAACATTGAAGACTCTCTTTGAATACATTGACGCCAGAGTAACACATGCATATTCGACTGACGGCAAGCCAGTTGATTATGCATGGGCTATCTAGGAACGCGGAACGA